ATATATATATATATATATATATATATATATATATATATATATATTACAGTATATTTATATTAAAATGTGAATATTAAATGTTATATTTTTTGTGAATATACAATGATATATATTTAGATGCCAACATTACATTGTAAATTCATATGTTAATGTATTCATATTTCAAATCACTAATATATTTACATATAAATATTGCATTGTGTATTGACATATCAGTATAACTTTTACCAACTAATATAATTAATTTTTATATATAAGTTAAATGCTTTTTCAAATTGCATGAGTAATTTTGTATATCAAAAAAAAAATAGTGAGAATGTGACACTCTGTATGTGGTGGGGGTGGTGTGGGGAGGGGAGGAGGAGGAAGAGGAATCAAATAGATCTTGAAAGTTGAAGGCTTTGGGGAAGGAGAGAATATTCTAAGGACACCAACGATCAAGGGCTAAAATCCAAAGATTAAATGGTAAACAAACTTAAAAGGCAAAAATATGATTAGATTATGATTAAGGGTTTGCCAGGAAAAGTCAGCCCACAAGTAGACGACTTCCCACATTTCCAAAAATTCACTGCCTTTGTCAGTTCGCTGTCTTTTAACCTAATCTATTTCCCTTTTAAAATACCCTTTTGCTCATACAAGTAACAAACATGAGATAATAAAAAAAAAACAACTTTTAATAAATATTTAAAAACGTATCAAGTAAAAATTAAAAGAACTCTAAAAGAGTTTGTAGGCATCATATATGATTAAGGGTTTGCCAGTAAAAATTAAAAGAACTCTAAACCTATCAATACTTCATCACATACTTACTGTAAAAAGCATAGGGTCTTCCTTCGTGTGTATATATATATATATATATATATATATATATATATATATATATATATATATATATATATATATATATATATATATATATATATATATATATAAAAGAGAGAAAAAAAGAAAAAAAGTTCAATAGTAAACCATAACTATTGGTTCTCCAAAGAACTAATTTTTTTTCCAACTTTTAGAGCTTATTGTTTATCGAAAAAAAAAAAAAAACTAAAAATTTCTAAATTAATAACTTCACATTGTGAATGCTAAAAAATAAATTATATATTATTCGAATTCACCGTGTGAATTCAGATTCACACTGTGAATCTGCACAGATTCAAAATGTGAATTTGACGATTTTTTTATCGAATTTGATATCATTAGAAAAAAAATAAAAAATTATGAATTTCTATATTTTTAATTTTTTTTATATATAAAAAAACAAGCTCTAAATGTTGAAAAAAAATTGGCTCCTTGGTTAATTATGGTTCTATATTGAACTTCACTATATATATATATATATATATATATATATATATATATATATATATATATATATATTAGAACGGCAGAGATTTTATAAAAAAAATTAGCAAGGAGTTAGAAAAAAAGAGTCATCACAACAAATTACAAACTAATAGAGGATTATGAAGCAAATAAGTCCAACTAATTTTAGCTTTTCTACACCTATTGGAAATCCAAAAAAAAGTTATATCAATCACTTCATCTAAAATAATAGATTTCCTGGGATAAGCCGTTCCAAAAATTGTGGAGTTACGAAAATTCCATAAACACCATAAGGTAGTCAAGATGACAGTGTCAAAGGCTTGTCGTTGCCCTCTTTTTAACGAAAGAGAATCCGACCACAAAAGGAGTTGATCAATAGAGAAAAAATTAGGAGTTTGGACTCCCCACCAGATTGCAACACAAGTCCATATTTCAATCAACTGATTGCAATGGAGGAAAATGTGATCAATAGATTCAACGGTGCTGGAACAAACGGGACAAAGAATCGAATCCATAGTAATCCCACAGAGAGAAAGGTTCTCTCTAGTAGGAATACTTCGTAACTGCAATCTCCAAATAAAGATATTCACCTTGATAGGCACCCAGTTATTCCAACGAGTTTCAGGACCCCCCGTATGTAACATGTGACTATCCAAAAAAACTCTAAGCGAAGAAACAGTGTAGGAATCCGAGTCATCAATAGTCCACCCCAAACGATCTGGAACGGAATGAAGAAGAACCCCCTGCATTAAGGCACTGAAATCAGTCCATTGAGTCTCCTTAATACCCCCTCTAGGAGTCCGCCTAAGACAATCAGAGTCCCAACCAAGAAGCACTCTATCTCGAACCGATATAGTTTTATGAGGATCAAGAGCATTAATCCTATGAAAAGAATCAGCCAGGGGGTATCCCCCTTCCACACATCGTGCCAGAAAGAAGTCAGATTTCCATCACCAACCCTAATAGGGCTAAAAGGCCTGAGATCAAGATCACGATTATTAAGTTGTACCCGCATCCGAATAACACCATTCCAAGGACCAATCGAGCCTCTTCTCTGAGAAAGAGAACTAAAACCACCATCCGGACCATAAAGAGCTTTGACAATTTTAACCCATATCAGATCTGGATTATGAAAGAATCTCCAACACCATTTATAGAGCAAGGCCCTATTGAACGAAAAAAGACTACCAACACCAAGACCCCCGTCCTTTTTTTGAGCTAAAACCCAATTCCAACGAACCCAGTTCATGCATCTCTCATCTAAGTCAGCGCCCCAAAAGAACTTGGCTCGAAGAGACTCCAAGGTATTAACAACAGAGATTGGAACCATGAAGATAGACATCAAATAACTACCAAGGCTTCCGAGAACCGATTTGATCAAAGAGAGACGACCTCTAGACTATAAACATTTCGCTTTCCAACCCGAGAGTTTTGAGCGGAAACGATCAACAACTAGGGACCAAGCAGAAATCTGAGACATATTCTGACCAACAGGGACTCCAAGGTGAATAAAAGGACAAGTATCAGGAGCACACCCAACCTTACGAGCCGCCACCTCAACTTGAGCAAAAGGAACTCCCACTCCGATCAATTTACTTTTTTGTAAATTGATTTTAAGACCCGAAGCTAAATAAAAATACCTCAAGATACGAATGAAACAAGAAACATTTTCTGGGTCCCAAGTAGACATCAGGACAACATCATCAGCATAAAACAAGTGTGAAATGTCGATCCCACTAATAGAAATACCTCGAAACATGCTTGCATTATGAGCTTTCCGTAGAACAACATGAAGGCCTTCCATAACCAGAATGAATAAAAAAGGGGATATGGGGTCTCCTTGTCGCAAACCTCTTTGGATTTGAAATTCATCAGTAGGGGACCCGTTAACAAGAACAGAAGTCCTAGCAGACCAGAGAAGCTCCATGATCCAGGCACACCACAACTTACCAAAGCCCATAATCTGCATTATCTCCAAAAGATACTCCCACAAGACCGAGTCAAAAGCCTTCTCAAAATCAACTTTAAAAATCATTAGAGGATTATTCGTAGACTTGCTCCAAGCAACCACCTCATTGAGAAGAAATGGGCCATCTAAGATTTGTCTGCTTTTAACAAAAGCATACTGCTCCAGACTAATAACAGAACCAATAACCTCCGCCAACCTATTAGCTAAAAGTTTACCAATAATTTTGTATTGGCACCCTATTAGACTAATAGGTCTAAAGTCTCTAATATTCTTAGGATCATGAACTTTTGGAATAACCGTAAATAAAGAAGCGTTGCAACCTTTAGGAACCGAACAATAACTATGAAAAAGTTGAATGAAAGCCACTAAATCATCAGAAATAAGATCCCAAAATCTTTTCAAGAATCCAAAAGAGAAACCATCCGGCCCAAGAGCCCGATCAGAGCCACAATCCCAAACAGCCCTTTTAATTTCATCACGAGAGAAAGGAGCTTGAAGAAGAAGGACTTGATCATCCGTGAGAGTATGGAACAAATTAGGATCAGTAGAAGGGTGTCTTCCTTTTTTCCTCAAGAAAAGATTTTTATAATAGTTATGGAACTCCGTTTTAACTCTCCCAAGATCATCCACCCAAACACCGTCAATCATGATACCTCTGATAGCGAGGTGACGCCTCTTCCGATTAATAATGCCATGGAAAAAACCAGAGTTCTCATCCCCTTCAATGGCCCACTGAACTTTCGCTTTCTGCGCCAAGTCGACTTTAGAGAGATGATCCAAGTCTGTTAATTCTTTAATAGCTGAAACTCTTTGTTCACGAAGATCAACACTACCCCCATCAAGCATAAGAGAAGCGTCAATCTCTTCAACTTTATCTTGAAGAATTTTCCTTTTACTATCAAACGATCACGAGCACTAGAGTTCCATAATCTTAGGTTATATTTAAGAATTTGGAGATTCTTCTTAAAAATAATCCAAGGATTATCATTCAAGTTCCCAATCACATTGGAGTTCCAATAATTATGAACCACTTCATCAAAACCTTCTAGCTCAAACCAAGAATGGAAAATACGAAAAGGGGACGGACCATAATCCACACGGTGCTCTAATAAAACAATAGGACGATGATCAGGGATATTTTTATCCAGAACCAAGCCCATAATGTGAGGAAAACGCAACATAAGACCTTCGGAGACCAAAAAATGATCAAGCTTTGAGAACTTAGATCCCCATCTATCACTCCATGTATAACGAGGCCCACCCATAGGAATATCAACGTTCTGCTCAATAACCACACATTCTCCTAAGAAAGAAGCAATCAAGGTAGAGATTTCATCCCAAAGTTTTCTTTTACAATCGATACTTTGGGGAGCATACACGGAAATTAGTAACACATCCATTCTAGAAACAGCCCAAATTCCCTCCACCGCCACATACCAATCGGAGATGATAACTTTATTATGAATAAAGATATTTGGGTCCCAGATAACCAAAATACCACCCGAAGCACCACGAGATGGGGAGAGAGAGTGGGAGAATGCGAGGTTACCTCAGAAAGATCGAACAAGAAAGAGGTCAATTGACTCCTTTTTCGTTTCTTGAATAGCCAAAAAATTGATTTTAAATTTCACGCAAAGAGATTTTATCCACACTCGTTTCTCTACAGAACCCGCTCCTTGAATGTTAATAGATAGACAATTCATATCTAAATTTTTTTTCTAAATCGCTCCTCTTGAATAGCATTTTTAACATGTTCAGAACAACTATTCATATTAAGACCGATATTTTCTCCCAATGCAATCGTCTTTTTGGATTCAACCACAATTGAGTCGGTATTAAAAGAGCCTTCTGAGAACACATCATTATTACCATGAATCATATTTGAAAAACCAGGTGGATGAGATAAAGATTCATCCGTAGATGGTATGCCTGACATGCGAATATATCCTCCTGAAAAACCAACCGGAGCTTGCTTATTTTAAGATACCTGTTCCATTTTTTAGTGACCCAGAGTTAGCATTATGAGCTGAATGGTTCTCGGAATTCACAGCAGGAGCTGTTGTGAGGTTGGGTGAAAAAACAAGGGTTGTTTGCGATTCTTCAGCAGCAACGATTGGAACATCAGCAGAAAGCTGAACAGTAGCATCGACAGTTGGGAGGGTGGCAGTTGAGAGGGTGGCAGCCGGTCCAGGGGCAGTAGAAGAATGTGCTTGTGATGCAACATGTGAACTGGAAGCACGACAGTCAGCAGTAGAATGATAAAGAACATTTTCTTTTATTAGCTTCCCATTTTGCCCCTAAAGCCCCTCACTATTACTTTTATTCTTTTTCCCATTACCCCAACTATTAAAGCCTTTTTGAATATCATTATTGACTTCATCCGCTTTTATTTTTTCAGTTGCATCAAAAATACCGAACGGATCTGATGAGACTTCTTCATTCCTTTCAGCGTAATGAAGATGTTCATCGTTTTGTTCACTGCCTTGTATTTCACTGTCATCTAGTTCTGGAACAGGAAAATCATGAACAAAGGTGGAGTCCACCCTGGAGCTTCCTTTACTCTAATCCAGTATGAAGCCTTATTGACACAAACTTTGATTACCTCTGAGATTATAGATTGAATAGAAGTTAATATGCAGATCCTGTTCTTGTAAATGTCTTCTCCAAGGTCATCATCTAGCTGAGCAATTATTCCCCATCTAGAGAGAATTTTTCTAAATGACTCTTTACTCCAAGCGGAAAGAGGTAATCCTTCAACATCAACCCACACTAAACGTTCTGGGGGAACGAAGTTTCGATCCCATGCTCTCTTTTCTGAAATCCAATGATCTATTGCTTTACTACTCAAGAAGTTTTTACATGTATTTTTGGAAGTAAACTCAATCATCACCCACAAACCTCCAACGTATCTTATTTCAAAAGAGTCAAATCCCTCATCCAAGTAAAGCACCCGGAGATTGGGAAGTGTGGAAAAGTCTCTTGCCTTAACAAGGCATGCTCTTTGTTTTTTTTCAACTATGAAGTCCCCAGAAGTAAGTTCGATGATCTCTTCCATGTTTTTATTGTTTTTCATATCATTAGTTGAACCTCGGACCACATTAGCATAAGATTTTACCCTGACATCGCGTTGCACTGTTGTAGAGAAAGCAATGGTTTGAGAAATACGAACATTATTTTCTAAGGAACGAGGGAGGGATGCAAATAATTTATATGATCCAAATCAAACTTCACGAAGTTGAGTAATCAGGGAGTCATGATTAATAACTCCTGAAAACCTAATGAAACCAAATCGTTTCCCCGATTTTGATAGCTTTTCAGCAATAAACATACCAACTATGATACCTAGACGATTACACGCTCGACCACATACCCTCTGAATGTCTCCAGTTTTGAACAGAATCCGAAAAATTGGTGATAAAAAGAGAGATTATATCTGAACTTACGTGACTTTTTTTGAATCGTTGCTGATACGATGAACCCTGTGGTTTCCATGCACGTTCCTGTTTCTATGACTAACAGTCGTCCAAGAGTTGTCCCCCATTGTGTTGAAGACATGAAATCACCAGCGTTTGATCCTGTCGGTGACTGATTGAAGATCGGAGGGTTTGGTGGGGACCGAAATCGCCGGAGAATTTTCACTAATTCCCATACATCCTATATATATATATATATATATATATATATATATATATATATATATATATATATATATATATATATATATATATATAGAGAGAGAGAGAGAGAGACAGAGAGAAAAGGGAGAGAGGTAGGTTCAAATGTTTGTCACATCTTTTGTGTGTTAGAATGCACCAATAAGAATTTAGTAAAAATTAAATTATTATTTTATCAAATAAAGATACATATTAAATGATTTCCATAATTATATGTATATTAAAGGATATCCATAATTATAATTCATTTTCTATGGAAACTAATTAAATTCATCATTAATGTCAGCAATAATATTTTTTTGATTTAAATTTGTATCTAGAAGAATGACATTGTATCCTAGCAGAATGACTAGAATACACTCTCGTTCTTCATATTCCATGCAAATTTATTGTATTTTAGGTGAGTGTGTCCCGAAACAAAACACGAATCTATACATAAAAACCTAGATGCGAATCCATTCTAAAAGAATGTTATTGCTGACATTAATGACGAATTTAATTAGTTTCCATAAAAGGAGAATTATAATTATGGATATCATTTAATATACATATAATTATGGATATGATTTAATATACATAAAATTATGAAATTTATATAATATCTATCTTTATTTAGTTAAATAATTATTTAATTTTACTAAATTTCTATTGGTGCATTCTAGCATACAATAAATGTAACAAACACAATAACCTAGCCCTATATATATATATATATATATATATATATATATATATATATATATATATATATATATATATATATATATAGAGAGAGAGAGAGAGAGAGAGAGTTGTAAGTTCCTTTCAGAATGAAGGAAAGGTTGAGAATACCATAATTATTCTGGCCACACATTTATTTATTGCCGTTCCAACATTTCGATGTACCGACACGAAGAAGAGATGTAATAATCATATGTGAATATAAAATTAAATATATGATTATATGAATATTACGTATCAATGTCACCACCTCCCCTCTCGTCCGCCACCACCACCTCTACCATGACCACCACCTTCGTTATTAACAGTCATATATATGAATGATCACTAGTGAATAGACATATACAAGTACATCATACATGAATAATCATATGTGAATATACTACGCAATATTTATATATTCATATACTTAATTTTGTATTCACATATAAATATTACCTCTCCCGTCGTGTTGGTATGTTGGAGCGTTTAAATGTAGAGGATCCGACTTGAAACATCTATGCTTATTGTTCCTTATGTAGCTGAAACGAGAGCTATGAATGAGTTAGAAGATTATGTTATAGAAGAACTAAGGGTCAACATTCACACCGAACCGGTTGGAAACATGTTTAGAATTGGAATCGATTTACGTGAATCAAGTGGACCGAAACCCGACTGATTAGCCTACACTAGTGCCGGTTCTAGTTTTCTGGTTATTTAGCGGTTAGAACTGGTACTACTTGTTATGCGGTGGGTACAACTCGATGAATCCATGATCTGATTTGTTCATTTTTGAGTCCCTGTGTTCGCGGTCATGTAACGCAATCAATATGTAACCAAATTTGATGTTTATATAATCTAACATCATGTAAAAAGTAAGCTACAAGTTGAAAAAAATCATGTCATTCTAACTTCAAACGAAGGAGTTTTGTAGGTTTTAAAAATAGCACGGATTGTAACTCAATGTTGAAACAAAGATAATTTAACTTTGATACCATGGGTTCTGAGGCCTGTAACTCAATCAGTATATAACCAAATAAGGTGTTCATATAGTCTAAATTGATATAAAATAATAAATTATATGTTTAAAAAATTCATATTAAGAAAATAGGACATATTGTAAGTCAATGTTGAAACAAAAAAAAAATCAACTTTGATACCTTATGTTTCGGGGCCTACAACTTAATGAATATGTAACAAAATACGATGTTTATATAATGTAAAATGAAGTACAAACGGTAAAACTATATATTGAAAAAACAATCATGCAATTACGACTTTAAACGAAGGAGTTATACATCTTTGAAAAATAAGACCGATTGTAACGCCTAGGTTTTCACACTAGGTACACCCCAATAAAATTGTTTTTTATTAACAAGTTTATAAAACATTTCGATGTACCGTACCATATTGGAATACAAAGAAGTTATCACTAAGAACCGTACTGACATTAAGTATATGATCTGAGCCGGGTGCTACAACAATCTTGACCTGTAACACAACAATAACAAACACCGTAAGTCATAAGGCTTAGTGAATAATGACTACAATAAGATAACAACACATAACATCATTTAATAATTGAACTTATAAACCAACATGTACATCACAATCGATATGCTAATTAAATTTATACTAATTAGCTATTGTTCTATCTTACTATAAAAGTAATCACATAGAATACTCTCAAACTAACCAGTGTTTCACCACTTTGATAACCACACCTTTGGGGATTCTCCGTCCAAAGTAAGTGTCTCACATTCATTTTCCAATTCCATAAACCAACTATCACATGAACTCATTTCATCATACTACAACATTCTATCACTTCAAGTATACATAATATAACAATATCATAATATATAAAATTCTCATATTCGTGTAACAATACACATCAATAAACATCCATTGTTAGAGTATAGTTACTCACCGGTTAACTAGTGAAGACTAACTATGATTCCAACCTCAAGCTCTTTACCGCTTTCCAATCCATCACTTGTCCAAACCTATTTGGACTATAGAACTTTTCTAAACTCACCACTATATCAACCACAATGATCAATTACTTGATTCACTAAATAAACCCGTTAAAAATTTGTTATCAAACTAATCAAATTTACAATTATAATTACCTAACAACTTAACATCGTAAGCCATTAGTCCAGTCGGCAAATCTCGGTAAACTAGGGTATATATAACCCTTACTGTTCAAATAAAACATTTAAATATTCATCGGGTTTGTAATAGCACCATATCACGGAATTCCCGTAACATATATTTGGCCCCATCAAGTCTTATTAATTATCACATAATGTAATCATACAATAAGGGGGTAAAAGGTACCTCAATGAATCCCATAACTCAACCCCATATCTCCTGTACAACGGTACATCTCCTCCATTATAATCTCATGAGAATGCTTCCCGAGCAGCATCTATGATCAAACATGCCAAAATCTCTCAAATGACACTAGAATGCACTATTAATAGTCTGGGCACCACCACGTCGTGGTGGTCAATTGACCACGTTGTGGTCACCAATTTCTCCGACGAATGCCACGTATCGCCCTCTTCTGCCACGTGTCCCTCATGTTTGACACGTGTCTCGGTGACTTGCCTCATACCATATCATGGTAAGCATACCACCACGCCATGGTGAATCAAAATTTGACTGTTGACTTTGACTTCCGTTGATTTTCTCGAAATAACAATGTACTATTATCTCAACTTGAAATGGTCATAACTTTCTCATATAGACTCCGTTTTTGATGATCTTTATATCATTGAAATCGTCTTAGAGTTAACTATCGCTTTCTTCCACTAATTGTTATCCATTATTATATAATAATACATGTTATGAAAATCATGGTGTTAGACTGATTGAAAGACAAAGCTAAAACAAAATCTGGGTCAGTCCCGATTATTCACCAGGAATCGGTGGCATCGAAATGGTTTGGAATTAGAACCGGAACTGATTAAGCTACATATGAAAAACTGATAATTGTCACATATCCTCAAAATCGATATCGTTCCATGCCGGTCCAACTTGGTCAAAACACTCATCGCTAAAAAGAACCCATTATGGTTTATCCAACTCCATACCTGCCCATTATAGAGGAGTCAACTATAGGAAATCCCAATTAAACAAGACCAATTATAGATCCATTTTTGTAGGAAGTGGATTATAGTAATGGTCATGATGAATTTGATGATTTTTCTCCATTTGATGTGTTTCATAATGACATTCATAAAGACAAATTTGAAAATGATTACGCACACGGAAGGCCACATACAAATTTAAGATTGAAACCATAAATGAGAGACACGTATGGCTAAAGTCTAATTGCCCAACATACAAATTCAAGACTGAAACCATAAATGAGAGATACGTATGGCTAAAGTCTAATTGCCCAACATCTATTACAGATGTTAAGCATCACAAACAAGTAATATCCCATAAACTTAGGTTTGTAGTTAACACAATAACTTTTATTGTGTAGTATTATGGATTGTTTCTATGATAGGTTGGAAGACCAACATGGAAAAGAGTAAAGGGAAATGATGAACCTAACATTCAAGTAGTAAGTTGTCAAGAAGGTTCATGACTGTATCATGTAGCAAATTTCACAACTAGGGGCACAATTCAAGAAGTTATAGAGGCCGAGGAGGTCCTACTAAGATTTCAAGTACTGTTGGCCCAAGGGGTCTAGGTCCAAGGCATACCGGTCCAAGGGGTGCTGTTTTTAGTGGTGCATATGCTAGGGGTGCTGGTTGGAGGGGTACCTTCAAGGGGTGTTGGTATTAGGGGTAAAGGTCCAACGAGTGTTGATTCTAAGGATGGAGGTCCAATGGTTGCTTATTCTAGGTATTCAGGTTTTAAGGGTATTGGTACTTGGTTTAATTGTTCCAAGGATGGTACTGGTGGTTTAGGGTGATCAGATGGTGTTGCATTATGAAGTACGATTTGTGTTGTTATGGTATCTGTTGAATAATGATATATTTTGTTATGGTTTTAGTTGAAAAATACTATCTTTTGCTACGATTTTGTTGAACATTGATTTCTTTTGCTAAGGTTTAAATGTAAAGTGATATAATCAGAATTAGTTAGGTTGAAAACAATGTAACAATCTTTTGTTGACTCTAATTGCATATCCAAAGAAATGGTGCTC